CTGACCCCACTCTAAGTACACAGCCTTGTTAAGTAGATCAGCAAGCTGAGATGGCAGCTGCTGCCAGGAAGCTCCCTCCGTCCTGAGCCCTGTCATGTGTCCCCCCTGCTCTATGGAAGATGGGGTAAGCAGGGTGCTGGGGGGCCTCCCTGACATTAGCACCCCCTCTCCCCCCACACAGCAAGCAGGAGGCTCCCGGGAGCAGCTTCAAGGCAGAGGGCAGGAACAGCACAGGGCAGTGGGGGGAGGGACAGCTGAACTGCCAGCAATTGATAGCCTGCTGGGCGGCTGCCACACGGGGAACTTAGGGGAACGGGGAGCTGATAGGGGGCTGCCAGTCCACCCTAGTTCCAAGCCTCCCACCAGCTAGCTGCAAAGGGCTGCTTTTCCTGCAAGCAGTGGACAAAGCAGGCGGCTGCCAAACGACGTTACAAGGGAGCATTGAGCAACTTTAAATGAGCATGATTTCTAATAGATCAGCAATGTAAAATGAAACAACGTTAACCAGGACGACTAAGCGAGGAGTTACTATATAACAAATAAGTGTTCTCTCTCTTGTGCATATCTAGAAAAACAAACTTAAAATTGTCACATTGTCTCAGTCTTGGTACAGTTGAAAATATAAATTTTAATATACTTTTAGAGTTCTTAATCTTGTCACAGAATTCATTTATTTTTCAACCTCATCCATCGTGCAAACTGGTGAATTATAAAAATAATTCATTTTTCTCTGAGTTATCTAAGCTGCAAGCAAATAAGACGGGCTGTATCACCAGGAAGGAAGTCAGCTAGTCCTCTCCATTGCTCAAGTTGTTGCTGTACCATGAATTCCAAAACTAAAAGCAGCCCTACCGCTGAAATAGCACAGTATTAGTAGTGTAGGTATGGGAAGCTTTCCATATAAAATCATTTTTAAAAAGACTGTTGAGAATATATATCACCACTTTAGGGTATTAAGGCAAAGAACTTAAAAAATTGAATTAATTTACATTTCATCCATTCACAAGCATGGTTTGCTTTTTGCATTTAACTCAGATTGCACAGTGAAATCAGACTGGTCAGTTTTATTTTCTGGTTCTCTTGCAATAGTACAATGTGTGGGTGTTTGCAACAATGAGGGAAATATTTAAATTGACAATATAAAATTTTGATATTAAGGTTTACGAATACTACGTTTAAAAAAAAATCCTTTTGGACTAAGGGTAGTTAAGGTTATCCCTTTAATTATATATTTAGTTACCTTGTTCTAACAAAGGAGGCACATGCCTTTATCCAAACATCTTTCAATGCTTCCTGTCCCCAGAACTCAAAGGTAGCATGTTTCATTTTGTCCCGTGTTTCACATTCTTCTGTGATATGGAGGGATCCCTCTACCATGTGGCTATCGCTGTAAGATACTGAGTTGTCTCTGGTTGTTTTTATAGAAAGTGTTGACCAAACGTCTTCTCTCCCGCTGAGCGTTTTGTGACATTGAAGGTTCATTTCTTTTCCAAACAGTCCTGGTGAGGTTTGGAAAACTTGGTCAATTGCAGCACAATCTTTGAATTGAACAAGTTTCATTTCTGAAATGAATGATGGAGGCAGAGTCTGTAAAAAGCTCATATAAGCCTCAGCAAGTAGCTTCCAGTTCCATGGGTTAAAAGGATGTAAGGAAATCAGTTGCTGTAGGCATGTGATCTTTTTCTCTATATTTTTCAGGCGACAATAAATGGCAAACTGCAGGTTGAGGACAGTTGTTAAATGATCTGTGTTAGTTGCCCCATTTCTCTAGAAACAAATTATGACAGATTAAACACAATAGAATGGACACAGTCATCATTATTCAGGAAGATATTTTTCCAGTGATGCACAAATCCTTCCCTCCCTCTCTCCGCTTATGATTTCCAAAATTAATTATCCAAATTCTGTTAAATATTTTTAAGATAAGCTGATATAATTACATGCAATCAGCCACAGTAGATTCAAAGAATGCACTCCCCTAAGTGGTGCCTTATCCCAACCTGACAGTATCATCCTTGAATTTTATCACCACTTATCTTTTTTATAGTTTTATACTGCCACCCATCGACACAGTATCTGAGTGCCTTCCACATAAAACAATAGCAAAAGCAAAATCCCTAGTGGACTTCATGGAGTCTCTGGCACTTCTCCTTTTACAGGATCAGAACTCTGCATGGGGTAAGATTTTTGGAGGTGTGTGGAAGGGGTTGGTAGTAAATGCTTGGGAGTAAGAGGGGTGTTTAAATTCATTGTTGTTAATGTAGCCTCACACTCTACAAGGCAGCAGGAATGG